CGGCTGAGGCAGCTGGGGCTGTGAGGGCCGGGCCCCTTGCACGAATTTCATGCATCGGGCCTCTAGTCTAATATAAACATGAGTCTAAACTGGATTCATACTAACATACGCTTCCACCTCACCTGGCAGTGATGCTGGATTGGCTACATTGCCCTTAGACATCATGAAGACTTGACTTTAAAGCTTTAATGAAATAGTCTTTAAAAACCCTTGAAACAAAGTCTAGGAAGGCATGTTATAAACGATACACCAATTTTACATGTTGGCATTTGGAAACATTGACATTCAATAAGTTTGAGACCTAATAAAGAAACTTAAATATCAAGAAGTGTAGGCTATGAAGCTGTAAAAATCCAGAAAGTGGGTGACAAAGTAAGCATTGAGTCAAGCAAGCCCTGAGTCAGAATCTAACAGGCACACTCTGTTGTGAATCTGGCCCTGGTTTTCCTATATTAATATACTTATCCTAACAATGCTGATATTGCTCATAACCATGGTGGTGCACCCTTTGTTTTTTTTAGAAATGCCTTCTGACTTGGTTTATGAGACACAGAAGAAAATCAGTATCTCCACTTCATTCACATCTTGATTTTTCTCAGTTAAACGAAATATAGTTACAACCCTTGTTCAGACTTATCTGAATACTTTGTCAGTTTCCAAAAAAGATTAGCTGCCAGTAAGATATTTATCTGCCTGTGACCAAGCACTGAGTAATGCCACCTACTTTTGTTTTGTGGAGAAGTTAAAATGTAATGTGAACAGTTTATAGAAATGCATTGTTCACAAGATAAGTCTCTGGTAGATTTAGGTGTAACTGTTTTCACATTTAAATGAATAATTGCATAAGCTAAACTCCAAGTATAAAGAGCATTTGCATTCAAATTACTTTCTTATGCTTTGTTAAAAAACCACAACAATTTTTCAGAGGCTGTAATACTTCCAAATTTTACTTTAAAAACTTCATTATGGAAAATTTCAGCCATATCCAAAAGTAGAGAGAGCAAGAGAATGAAGTCAATGTATTCATTGCCCAGCTTCCATCACAGTCAATGGTGTCTCATTTGCTAGTATACTCTTATTCAGTCCCTGTCCCCCACTGTCACAGAATTATATTGAAGCAAATCTCAGATGTCATATCATTCTCTCCTTAAATAATTCAGTACATATTTTAAGAGATAGGGAATCTTTTAAAAATATAACCATGATATTATTTTCACACCTAAAAGAAAATAAAATTCTTTAATATCATCAAATATCCAATCACTCAAGAAATATACCCAAATCTAAGAAAGTCAAATGTCAAGGAAAAACATTATTTCAAAAGATGTAATACTCAAAAATGAGGGAGCTACTCCCCTTCAAGAAAAAGGAAACAGCATTCTCTTATAGCAGAGAGCTGAAGGTCAGGGGCTGTAGGGGGGAATCCAGGAATGGTATGTACAATTTGTAACATATGCATATGAAAAATTTTTTTCTTGGTTGATAGCATTCATCAGAATGTCAAACAGCTTGAGACTGAAAACATTTAAAGAACTTCTGCCCTTGGTTATGATTGTGTGATTGTGCCAATCACTTCACTATGCCTGTTAAGAATTAGTCAAATAGGGAAACAAATCCATCTAAAATAACCGCGATCAAACTGAATTCAACTCAGCATTTACTGAGCATACAGTAGATGCAAGACAATGGGTTACATTCTTGATAAACAAAGGTAAATTAGTTCTAGTGAATTTATAGTCTAGGAGAGGGGATTCAACAGATTAATATAGCTATAATAGTATGTCATGAAAAAGGTGCCTGCTGTAGGTATACTCATGGGGATCCAAATGAAAAAGCAATGATGTTACTTGTGGGGGAGGGGGGGGGGGGAGAGGAGGGAAAGGGGAGAGGTCATAAGATAGAACAGAGTTGTAGAAGATGTCAAGAACTGTACCATCAACTCCTGTCTGAAGATCTTCCTTATGCCCCTAGCTGAGAGACATGGATAAATGTGTTCTGTGCCCCCCTCATTGGGTAGGGGGGGAGAAGAGGTTACGTGTAAGTAGTATTTAGAAACTGAACAATTCTTTAGATCTGGAGAGGAAAGACTCCATGAAGAGAGAAGGGAAGCATTCCAGGAAGAGAAAAAGCAGGAACGAATGAGTGGAAAGTACTGGCATGTTAGGGAACCAGCAGTGTGGTGACCTTCCAGCAGCGTGTGTGGGTGGGGCTGGCTGACTGGAAATGCCTGCTGGGACCAGAAGTTGGAGCCTTCCAGGCCAGAACTGAACCTATATTCTGTGTCCAGAGAAAAGCCATCAACACATTTTAACTGAACTAGTTCTATCTTTACAGAGTATGTCTCACCCTTAGGTGGATGGGTGCCCAAAGTTTATTAAACTGGTGGTGCCTTGAATTAGCTGGATGGGGTGAGGTGAGAGAGAAGCAGGCTATTCAGGAATCAATTGCAATAAGCCAGGAGCGGTCCAGAGTGACAGTTGTAGAAAAGAGATGAGGGGACATTTCACAAATTTTAGAAATCATTATTTTTAAAAAGTGAAAAAAGAAACATAAGCAAGACCAAAGCATCATAAACATTCTATTACATAGTGTAGAACAGTGTTAGTATGATTCCATTTCTGGAAAGAAAAAAAAAGCTATAAAATGCAAAATATCATAGGAAGGATATGGAAGAAATAGATACCACTGGTTGTAGGGCATGGAAAAAGGATTGGGAGAGGTAGGAGAGAGACTCGTCTCTTTGGTAGGCTGAACCACATGATTATCTATTGGCTAGTTAAAAGAATATATAATTTCTTCCGTACTGTCAACCACATAGGCAGAAAATTGGAAAAAGAGAAAAGGTTTTAGAGACAAGATAGAGGTTCCATTCTAGCTCTGACTCTTCTTAACTGTGGGGCGTGGACAAACTAATTTCTTTTATTTTCTGTCCTCTTATTTGCAGAAATAGAGATAATACTGGCTAATTTCTGGGTCACTGTAACAATAATTAAAGGAATCCTACACAAAGCATCTGGTACAATACCTGGCATAGACTAAATACTCAATAAGTAGCAGCTATTTTATTATCAACAAAATTTCCTTGATATGAGTATAGTCTTAGAATAATAAAAGTTCCTCGATCTAGTTTCAGGTGTGCTCATTAGCTAATCTTATTCCTACATTAAAAATTTACATTGTACAAAACGACTAATGTAATCCATCTGATGAGCACTATCCATTACATATCTGTTTCTAGAAATTGAAACTTTATTTATCTGCATTTCTACGTGGAGATTAGTTTTTGTCTTTAAATGCTACTGAATCTATATTTACTGAAGTCGTGTATGCACAGAGGACTACTAAATACAAACTAGATGCCACAGGGCACCAAGAAAGAATAATAAGTCGCTACCCTCTAAGAACTGACAACCTCAGTGAGACAAACAGGTGTGACCTTCAAGTAACCATGTCCCAGATCTGGCAGAAGAGATGGAAATACTGGCAATGAAGCACCCAATTCTGGCCATGCATTTGCTGTAAGATGTCAAGTCACAGGTTAGGAGCAGTTCACTCTGCAAACATTTTTTTTAGGTGGGTTTCCTCTGTATAATACTATGGTTAAAATCAATTGAGACTGTGGCAGCAACAGCATCCTAAGTGTTACAAAATAGTGGTCACTCTCAAAAGTCTTACTACACAATGTTTGAACAGTCACATCATTATTAAAGCATCATCAAACAAAAGTTTCTTTGTTATAGATTGAGATGAATAATTGCAAACCATTTTCATGTGAGATGTTCTGGCTCAGATCTGCCCCAGCCTGTAAAATGAAGAAGCCTTTGCAAAGAAAATAGCTGGGGTTTAAGAAATATTTTTGTGAAAGGCAGGAAATAATGATAAACATCTTCCAGTGTTGGTGAATGCTTCAAAAAAAAAAAAAAAGGCGTAAGGCCTGGGGAAAATGCATTTCACTTCATACATAGCACTGTGGGGAGAAAGAATGGTGGGATGGATAACAAAAGCCATTCAGATCATTATTCAAATATTTCTGTTTGCAGCAGATGGGTCTTGAGAGAAACACCAATACCAGGCTGTAGAGAAACAACGGCCTAACATACACACTAATTTCTAAAGCTTGTATTGATGCTGCAAATGTTATGGATGCGCGCCTTGGAGGGATGACTGGCTTCATACTAGCCAGCAGGTCTATCTCCTGAGCCACCAGAAGGTCCACACTTGTATCTACCCCCCTAGCTACCCTATGCTCGAAGCCCCAGGGTACACATTACAGTGGAGGACGGGATCGAGAGGCTCATCTACAGCTATGCACAGGCAGCAGCACCAGTTTAATATCCGTCCTCTTCCTTTCCCCTCCCTAATTCCATAAATCTCAAGATCAGAGTTACAAAGAGACTGGGAACTCCAGCAGAGCGCCGAGGCCCTCCCTCCCCTCCCGCCAGGCCCTCCCTCCTCCAAGGAGCATTAGTGCCGTGCAAATTGCTTCCAAACATCCTTCGCAGGCACCGCAGGACGAACCAGACCCGGTTTTCTTCTGCAGCTTCCACGGAGGCCAGAGGAGATGACAAGTGGCGTGTGTGTGTGTGTGTGTGTGTGTGTGTGTGTGTGTGTGGTGGCGGCGAGGGGGAGGCTTGCCCAAAGATAGCCACCTTCTCCCTCCCCAGCCCACCCCTCGCTCCCAGCCTCAGCCCCGGCCTCCGGAATCCGCATCTGGCGGCGCCTCGCACGAGACGATGCGCACCCGCCACTTCCACCGCGTGGGGGGCCCCCACCCATTCGCGGTCCCCGGGTCTCCCCGAGCCGCGGGTCTTTACTCCGGGGCACGGATACACGGGAAGCGAGGTCCATGGGGTGGAGGGGCTGCTTCCCCACCGAGCAGCAGGAAGCCGCCCCAGCAGGCACATGCTTCCTCCCGGCCCGAGGGGAAGCCCCCGGGGGGCGACGACCGCGCTTCCCGCAGCCTCTCCTGCTCCCCCGGCCCCCCCGGGGTTGCTCCTCACCTGTCCAAGAAGGTAGCGGCGACGCGCGAGGCTGGGAGCTGCGGCGATTCCGGCAGCGGCAGGGGCTGCAGCAGCACTGGCGGCGGCAGACAATGGAGGAGTGAAGGACGGACACATTGACATCGACACACAGAGCCCGGCGCAGCCACGCCTCCCGCCCCGCCCCGTCCCGCCTCCCAGCCCGCCCCTGGCTGGGGCCGCACCACTTCTTAGGCAATGGAGGGGGGTCGCGAGAGCCGGACACCTCGAAATGCCCCATGCAGCCACTGCCGGACACAGAAATTACAGATGGATAATTTAAATATTGCGTGTTCCTAAAGATACGAGGCAGGCAGGTTGGAGGGTGGGAAACATGTGAGAATTCAACTCCCCCCTCTGGTTTTTGCCACTTGGTTTTGTCTTCCCTGGTTCCTCCAATGGGAGTCTTTGGCTGCCGCCTCCGGCAGCTCCTCCCACTGGCTGGGCCAATAACGCGCGCGGGGGGGCGGTGCCTGCGCTGGGCCTGCGGAACCGCCCCCCCGCCGGCTCGCCCGAGCTCGCCGGCTGCTCGCCTGCCCGCGGGAGAGGGGAGAGAATTCGAACGCTTCCCGGTGCCCTGGTCTCGCGCTGCCCCTCGGCGGCTAGCGTCCCTCACACAGACACCGCGTTTCCTCTCCACACTCGCCGAGAAACAGAACAGCCTCCAAGCTGGCGGGAGCCATGGTTCACATCAAGAAAGGCGAGCTGACCCCGGAGGAAAAGGCGCTGCTGGAAGTCATCGGAAAAGGTACGGGCGCTGGGCTGCGACGGAGGCGCTGCCCGCCCGGCCCGCAGGCGTGGCGGAGCGCGGGCCCTGCGGACCCCGGGCTGCGGGGCTGCGAGGACCGGGAAACAGCGTCTCTCCCTTTGATGTTGGCGGGTTGTGGGAGCGGAGAGCTGGGGCGGGACCCGCACGGCTGGGACCGTAGCGGAGGTCGCCGAGGTCCGAACCCGGCGTCAGCTTTGGGAAAGGCACACACGCCCAGGCCCCAGCTCCGTTACAGCGAGCCGCCCCGGGGCGTGGGTTCCGGGGCGTTCATCCTCCCACTCTCCTAACGGGGCTGGGACCGCCGTCCTTCCGGGCGACCGTGTCCCGGAGGTCGCAGGCTCTCGGGCTGGAGCCCAAAGGGCCGTTTCGACTTCCGGAGCCGAAAGGTCTGGATTCTGGGCGTGCCCGCCCCCGCCGGGGGTGCAGGGCGCTCCTAAGGGAAGGGCTCTTTCTCCGGCGCTAAACTAGTTTTGCAAGTTGC